GCTGCCCCCTGCCCAGGCCTCTGCTCCCCCCACAGCCCCCTGCCCAGGCCTCTGCTCCCCCACCCCTGCCCCCTTCCCAGGCCTCTGCTCCTCCCCCCAGCCCCCTGCCCAGACTGCCCAGTCTGGGAGCTGTCTCAGGCTCGGGGACATTTGAGTCTTGCTGATCCCTGTTCACAAGTTTCTGGGAGTGAAGGGGGTTGGGGAGGGGGGTACTGATGGCGCATTCCCCCCCTCGGCCAGGAGTCAAGCTATGGGTGGAGGAATGGGGCAGGGGGCACGTCCACTGCAGCCGAGTGGTGGTGCCACCTTCCACGTGTCCCCACGTCCAGGGCAGCTCACCCGCACGGGGGGCAACGGTGGTCCCTGCACGGGTCCCAGTGCTGCTCGGGTTCACGGCGGGGGGGGGGGGGGGGCGGCGGGGGGCGAGGTGTGCCCCCCCCCAGGCCCCCGGGGGGCCCGCCCCCCCCCCGCCGGGGGGGTGGCCTCACACAGGAGGGACCAGCCCCTGTGTCTGAGGCCCGGCCGCATGCTTTGTCCAAAGGAGGAGCAAAAGAGCAGGAAGAAGAAGAGCACCAAGAGGAAGCTGGCCCCCAACACCCCCTCGCCCTCCGCCTCCGCCTCCGCCTCCGCCTCCGCCTCCGCCAGCACCACCCCGGCCTCCGCCACCCCGGCCTCCGCCACCCCGGCCTCCGCCAGCACGGCCAGCAGCCAGGCCTCGCAGGAGGCCAGCTCGCCCGAGCCCCCGCCTGAATCACACAGCAGCAGCCTGGCGGACCACGAGTACACTGCGGCCGGAGCCTTTGCAGGGGCCCAGGCCAGCCGCGCCTCCCAGCCCATGGCCCCCGGGGTCTTCCTCGCGCAGAGGCGGCCCTCCGCGTCATCCCCCAACAATACTGCCGCCAAAGGTACCGCGCCCGCGTGCCCTCAGACTGCACGCTAGAGGACCACGGGTCCCCTCTGTCCCCAGGTGGCCGCATCTACAGCCACGTGCTCGGCCAGGGCCCCTCACGGTGCGAAAGCTGCTCCTGCTCGCCTTGGCTTTGGGGCCCAGCTTAGAGCTGGGTGTCGTCGGCAGTGTGCCGAGGGGCCCAGGGTGATCCAGGCTCCGTGGGTGGTTCGGGGGCAGGACGGCTGGCTGGCTGCGTCCCCAGGTCCCCACTCTCACCCCCAGACCCCCGATCTGCCTGCGCCCCGGCCCCCCGGCCCAGCTGGCTGTGGACAGGAGTGTGGCTCCCGCGGCCAGGAGGAGGGCTAGGCCTCACTCCCTTGTGGTGCCGTCCCCCCACCCGCATCCCACAGCCTCGCAGCAGGGCACTCTGGTGACCACTGGTGGGTCCGCGGAGTCTGGAGCCCTGGGGCTCAGGCCCGCAGGCCTGTCTTACAGAGAAGATGGGGGCTCCAGGAGGGGAGGTCCCTCTCGAGCTCTCACACCCGCCACTTTTGTGTCTCTGGCTGCAGGAAAACGTACAAAAAAGGGCATGGCCACCGCCAAGCAGAGGCTTGGGAAAATTTTGAAAATTCATCGGAATGGAAAACTACTCCTTTAAAGTTTGGAAAGCCAGGATCCTTCCGCTCCGCTCAGGACCCCCGGAGCCCCGCTAGAACATCCGCCCCCAGGAGGGTGGCCGCGCTGCCTCACCCCAGGGAGGGCCTGGCCCCCTCCCGGCCACCACTCCCCCCCCCACACGAGCATCTGTTGCTTCAGCAGGCGGAGCTCACCAACGTGGACAGATGTCCTTTCTCAAGTTGCTTAGAGTGACCAGTTCCCGGAAACTCGGCCCTGCCCACGTGAGGACCATTCCAGTTTCAGGACAGCCTCCAGGCACCCCTGAGTGTGGGTGTGATTGCAGGGCCTCCGCAGCTCTGCTGGGAGCATGAGTCCTTCGAGGAAGGAGGAGTGAGCCAACGCTCACCAGGCCCAGAGTCTGAGCTGGCCACAGGCTGGTAGCCTCCAGAGGCTTAAAAAAGGCAAAGAACACTAGAGAGGAAGAGGAGGAGAAAATGGGATCTTGTGTGCCCCCCTACTCTTCCTGAGTGATTCTCAGTCCAGAGAGCGTTCGGCCCGGCCAGGAGAGGGGCCTCTATGCTCCGTGGCCGGCAGGTGGCGGGCCGGATGGTGGATGTCGTGCCCTGACCTGCCGGGGCGTTTGTCGGGATGCCGGGGCCGGCGGCAGGGTCTGTGTTAGTGGGTGGGGGCGCTATCGTGGGGTCCCCCTGGAAGGGTCGGGCCCAGCCACGACCTAGGGCCTGGGAGCCCAGGCTAAGCCATGTGGGCGGGCCCCGCCCAGCCCCACCGGCTACACTCGGAGAAGCACTTGTCAGCCGAGGCACCTGCCTGGCGGGGCTGACGGCGGCTGGGCGGCCCAGGGACGCAGGGCCCGCACTTCTGTCTTGTCACCTGTCGGTGTTTGGTGTCGAGGCCACGGGCGGACCCCGGACCGCACGTCCTCCGCCCAGTGACACGGAGGGGCTGGATTTGTTTCTCAGGCAATCCTGTATTTTAATTTTAGATGTATCTCCTGAAGCATATTTTTCATAGAATGTAGCGTGTAAATAGCTTTTTAAATAACTTCTTTTTTATAAGAGTAAAAGTATCTTTAGGAATTTCTTTCTAGAGAGTCCTTCATTAACATTTATACGAGTTTTTTGCCGAGTCTGATGAGCAGTTGGGTTTCCAATGCTTCTCCTCTCCTTCTTTCTTTCTACTGTTATCGTCGGTATTCTTTCTTTCTCTTAGGAACTAAGGTATTGCCTGAAAAACAAGTGATGTCTGTGCAGCCTTATATCTGTCTTTACAGAAGCAAACCGCACGCACGAGACCTGTTCCAGACGCGATCAGAGAGGGGTCTTCAACTCGAATACCAGCTCTTTCTTTCCTTCTTGTTGGCGAAGGGGGTGGGGACGCCGCTATTTTACTAGCACCTTGTGAAGTGTTTCTGTGTTTTGTGATGCTGTAATTTATTAATGTTTGTAGCTTTTTATATTTGTACATTTCTTATGAGCTTTGTTTATACGCCCGTCCCAGGGCGCTGTGTCCATGCGCAGAAGTGGCCCGCGCTGCGGAGGGGGGGGGCGGTGCGGCCCCGCCCCCAGGCTGGCGGGCAAGGTCGCCGCCGGGCCCCGGCGGAGCCGCCCTGGCGTCTGCGAGGTTTCCTTTCCCGTCCTTGTTGAACATTTATATAATCTAACCCGGCCATCAAGCTGTTTGTTCTCTTTCTCTCTCTCTCTTTTATTTTTTAAAGTTTATTATTATTATTTGGCAACATGTACATTTCTAACAAAGTTTACCGTGGCTATTAAAGTGTTTTATTTCCCGATTCATATTACTCTTGTATCGAGTCCATGAGGTCTAAGGCAGCTTAGATCAAAGTTTTAAAAGAGTAAAAATATTTCAGGTTTTGTACAGAACCATGTCTGTGTCATTCCTGCTCATCCGCGGGAGGGGTGGCGGGAGGGGAGCGCGGGGGAGCGCGGGGCTGGGGCGAGGGTGGGCAGGCAGGCCAGGCGGGGCGGCCAGCCTTCTCCTCGGAAAGCCTTTGGATTGCCCACGGAAAGCCAGAGTGCCCCAAGCCAGCCTGCAGGAGCGGCCGCCACGGCCCCGAGCACCCCCCCCCCTCCCCCGGAGCCCCTAGAACCACGTACGGTTCACAGGTGAACGGTTTAGCTGAGTCAGTGAGCCCAGGGCCCGCACCCTGGGGTGTCAGCATGTGGGATCTGAGAGTTATTCACAACGGGTCCTGCCCGGACCCCCTCCACATGCGCAGCGCAGGGCAGCTGAGGAGGGAGGGCATGGGCAGCTGCAGAAAAACCAGCCGCTGCTCTGGGAGAGGTGCCTGCTCCCACCCCCACCCCCGCACCTGCTGAGTATCCCTGGGCCCGTCATGAGGCACGGTGGAGGGGACGGTGGGTGGTCCTTGTGCACCCACTTCCCAGATGGCCATGGCCCAGGGCATCGGCTTCCCAGGTAGCTGAGCAGCTGCCTGTGGATGTGCCCACCAGGCCACTGTGACCACACAGCTGAACACGCATCGGTGGGCGGCAGTGTGTTCAGGTGACGTGTTGGTACCATTTGCCACGGGGCATAGAAATGCAATGCACAGCATCCTCGTCCCCCTCTCTGAGCTTTGGTTTCCTCCACCCTGTTGGGTGCCCAGCGTGCACATCCTCTGTCGCGCTCAGCGGCTGAGTGCCTCTGGGGCCTCAGCTGAGCTAAGGGAGGCTGGGGGTGGGGGCTCTGGGTCCCCACCCTGCCTGGAAGGTACTGCCACCAAATGATGCCCCGGGTCAGGCCAGGGCTGCCCCTCCGCCGGGCCCGTGCACGTGACGTTCTCCCAGAGCTGCCCCAAAGCCCAGTCCCCTCCATCAGATCCCACGAGAGATAGTGGCCTTGGCACACCCCCCGGCCAGGCCGACCCCCTGCTTGCGCTGTCCCGTCCCTGCCCAGATCCAGCCCAATTCTTCCCGGTGGCTCCCCCGGGGGTACCCACAGCCACCAGGTACCTGTGCCCAACCCTGTCCTTCAGGCCTCACTCTGGAGCCCCACCAAACGCAGATTGGTGGGTCCTGAGCTCACATCCTGGAGGCTGGGCCGTCTGGGCACTCCTCAGGTCCCCCCACCTTTGTGGGGCTCTCGGGACTGGGCCTTCAGAGGTCGTCTGGGGGCTGGGGCCCAGGCGTGCCCTGTGCCCTCACTGTGGCCCTGACAGCCTGTGTGAGGCATCCCCACGAGGTCCCTGCCCGGCCACGTCTGTGCGCGGGCTCGGGACGTGCGTCTCTGGGTAGGCCAGGCGGGCCCGTGCCGGGGCCTCCCCAGGTCGTCTCCCCTTCTCTGTGGGAGGCCAACAGCCCCACGCTGGTAAGCTGGGAGGGCGGGGGCCCAGTGAGCCCCCAGTACAGCCTGCAGATAGCCCGTGGGCCCCTTGGGGGCCAGCGGCTGGGCTCCTTGGGGGCCAGCGGCTGGGCTCCTGGGTTCCCCCCACCCCAGGAGGGCCTCCCTGGAGATAGCCGCTTGACTGCAGAACACTTTGCTAGAGCAACGGGCGAGCTGCACGTCAGGCCTCTGCGACGCTGAGCCGTTTGTTACTGCTGTCTGACAGGCACAGGCGGCGCACCGAACACTAAGTTACACGCGCTGCTCCCTAACTAGTTTTCCCAAAGTTCAGCTGGATCCCATGGTCACAAACTGAACACCTGCTGTGTGCTGGTTGCTGTGCTGAGAACCTTCCCGAGCCGTCATGAAGGCCGACCAGAAGCCCATTTTACTGAGGAGGTCACCGCGTTTGGAGGAGGGACCCGCTCTCCTGCCTCGGGGAGAGCCCCAGCCTTGCCAGCTCCGGGATCACAGCGTGACCAGCTCCCTCACACGGGTTGGCCATGCAGAGACAAACCCCAGTGTCCGTGCACACCGCAGGCAGAAGGGGTGTCTGAGAGGTTCCCTGGAGCACCTGCAGGAGATGAAAACGTCTCTAGCAACATGAGCAAAGGCCCCGGGGCAGGAGGCATCCCTCTGGAATATCGTCCTCCTGCCCCTCAAGGCTTCCCTCCCCTGAGGGTCCCCCTGCGCCCTGGCCCTGTGCCCAGCAGGCACATGTTTCTGTCGTCTCCACGCGGGCGGGAGTCCAGTGCCTCGGGCGGCTGGTCTGTTTTGCGTGGCCGCCTCTCCGGGTGCCTGGAACCTGGGGACCAAGCCAGTCCCAAAATGGTCAGGAAATACCTTGGGGAAATACCAAGAGTGACCACCAGGGGGCAGGGGAGGGCCGAGAACCGGCCGGCGGCCGCGGGCAACGGAGGCGGGAGCTCCTTCCCAGCCCTGGCATGGCGGCCTAGGGGACGCAAGGCCTAGGGGACGCAGCAACCACCGCCAGAGAGGTGAGTGATCAGCGCCTGAAGGGCCAGGAAGGGGAGAACAATAATCCCATCAGCGTCGTCGGCACCAGCCACCTATGGGTAGGTTCACACTCACCACCGTCCTCTGTTGAAGGTCTGGGGACTGTCTTTATCTTATCAACGGGGAAACTGAGGCACGCAGTCTCACAGCTTGTGGAGCTGCGGTTCAAGTCCTGGCAGGACAATTCCTGGGTCCCAAAGGGAGGAACTGCGCCATGGCAGAGAGCAGGGGCTGTTGTGCAAAGGCCCTGGTGTGGGGTCAGGGTGAGGTGCATCTGAGGACAGCTGGGAGCAGGGGCTCGAAGGCAGGGGAGGCAGCAGGGAGGCACCTAGAACTGTGTGAAGGGCCTGGCTCTCCCCTTCACCACGAGGGTCTCTTCAGTTCCGCAGGCTGCATGAGACCTTCGACACTGCCTCCCCCTGAGCCCTGCCTACCCTGCCTCTCTCTGCACAGCCCCAAGCAAAGAGCCCCCTTTGCACATAGGGACACTGAGGCAGGTCTTCTGCAGGAAACATGGCTGCAGGAGGTCTCTGCCCCCCCTTGTTCGCAGTACTGAGTCTCTGGATGGGGTGTAGGAAGGAGAGTCAAGAGGCCTCTCCAATCAGGGTTTGAAAAACGATGTTACCGACATAAGAATCCAGGCTGGTTCCCAGCCCCGTGGAAGCAGGGCTCCTTAACAGTAACTCCCAGTGATAACCGTGGCGTAAGATTTGTATCAAAGACTATGCTGCCAGTGTGGCTGCATTTCCTGAGTTCCTCCTGTGTGCCAGGCAGGGTGCTTCGAGCTTTCCCACAGCCAATTGCCTACCGCTGCGCCTTGGCCTCAGCCTGTGGAGGAGAGGAGGCTTGGACCCTGGGGCCGAGAGGCCTCTTTGAGGAGATGGCCTGAAGGAAGTGTTGGGGTTGAGGGTACAGCCTGTGCAGAGGCCCTGGGGTAGGGGTGGCTTCCTGAGGAACGGTGGGGCGTAGTGTGGGTGGGGAACAAGGGGTGGGGAGCTCACCGGGGCCAGGGTTCCAGCAAGGTCTCGTGTCCTCCGGGCCTTGGCCTAGGACGCCTGTCTTGGTGAGGGGCTATAGCACAGGCCTGAGCAGCCCTTGGCAGGCTCCCCTTGTCTGCCTGCCTGGCTGTGGGACCTCAGGGAGGGCCTCAGCCCCATCTTCGCACAGAGCGGCTGCCGGCCTGCCTATCCCAGGGCCTGTTGGCTGTGTGATCTTGGGCAGTCGTGTCCTCTCTCTGGGCCTCTTCTTCCGCCTGCCGACAGCAAGCAGCTGTTGCTGAGTGGGAGTGTGCCCCCTGCTCTTCCCTGCACCCTCTCTGCGGAAGAGTGCCCACGTGGGGGTCCGGCCACGGCAGGACACAGACGGCCTCAGGCGGCCGAGAGGCCTGCTGCTGGGCGCGCCCGCTTGGCCTGTGTCCACTGGTGTGGATGCTCAGTTAGACTCACTTCCAGTTTGCAGTCTCCTATTTTGGAGTGGGTCGCTACTTTTCACATCCCCAGAGCTTGGTGGACAGAGGGACCTGGGTGGGGCGGCCGGGCTGTCGGGCAGCCTGACAAATGATCTCCCTCCTCAGCCGCTGGCCTGCCTTTCCCAGACCGCGTCCCGCCGGCCGCCTCATCCAAACATCCCTGGGGATGCCACCTCGGCAGAAAAATGATGCTGTTCCATTAACATCTGACACGGATTTGCAGGCCCCAAACAGACGAGCGAGCATGTAAACACCCGGACTGGCTGGGCCCTCGCCCGGCTCAGAGCGGGATCCTCGTAATTAATTGTCCGCCTGCTCGCCTGCTGGCCCGCCGGCCTCCCCCCAGCTCCAGCCAGTGTGATTTCAAGATTGCATTCCCTCCTGGCCCCCCCACCCCCCCACCCCCGCAAACTGCATTTCCCAAACAGCGGATGTGCTTGCTTTTAGGAAGGAGGAGAGGGAGGGTCCTGGTTCTGCGAGCCTCGACTTCCTCCCTGTCACATGGACGCTCCTCCAGGGTGCCCCACGGCCACGGCCGCTCAGCTGCCCCTGGCCCCTCACTCTTTTGTCCTTTGGATCCTGTGGGTCCTTCTCGCCTGACTTCTCCCCGGACCCCGGGCCTGGGTTGGTTCTGGCTCTATCGGATCACAGCACCAGCTGGATCCCTCAGCTGCCCCCAGGAGCCCCCACAGTGGCCCCTCGTAGCCCTCCCCAGGACCCCCCACATGAGCCCCTTCAACACCCCCTAGCACCCCAACACTGGCTCTCCCTGTCTTTGTCCCTCTGATTTCCTTCTTCCTGATCTCCACATTCAGCCCAGACACTCTCCTGTGTTTGCTGTCCGGCTCAGTCCCTTTCTGTGGCTCCCTACTAACTGCCTGCGGGGTTCCCCACATCCCTCCATCCTCTCAGGGCATCCGATGGGTGGTCAGAGCAGCCCTTGTGCCTCCTGAGGACAGTCTCCAGCCCCACCCTCTGCTCAGTGCTGGGGTCCAGGGCAGCAAGGGCGCCAGTGGCCATAGGGCAGTGGGACAGACAGGTGGACTGACAGAC